TGATACTACCAAAACATAGTATATAATAAGAGAGCAAAGTTTACTTTATAAGCAGATTTTATATATTTGAGTTAGGTCCATAATATATACTTTGTTAAGAATAATTTCATCATCTTGTAAATTCCTCAGCTCTCAACATATCTTTATAATGCATTAGTTTATACCAACACTCATTTGTATAAGTGGCAACGGGTTGTATTCCTTAATTAAGTTGTTTAAGTTCAAATCTTGACCCTTAAGTATAGAGTGGACTGTGTTGAAAAAGGAATAAAAAAAATGCATTAAGTTATTTTATAGGAGGATTTTATCCGTTTTGTTCTGTTTAGTGACACACAAGAACATGACAAATCCTTTAAGTTCTGTTATCTTAATCATTGAACGGATTCTTTTTTGAACTTAGCAACACACTTTAGAGGGTATATATATATATATATATATATATATTTATATTTATATATATCTTGAGATCTTGTATAACATTCCTTTGTTTTGATCAGACAAATACCATGGAGTAATCCTCCTTCCAGAAGGTCTGATTGAGAGTATTCCTGAAGTATATGCACTCTTAAAGGTAAAACCCCACTTCCTCAATAGTCAACCCCTACTTGAGCACTAAGCATAATGAAATTTGTCAATCAAGTATACATGCATCTACGTGTCTTCAAGTCATTGTAGAGTTGTATCTGTCTTCAAGTCATTGTAGAGTGTTTAAGCTTCAGAAAAGAACAATTTCCTTTTTGTCAATGATGTTAGATTTCTCTCTCCTATAATAGAGGATACAACATTAATATGTCCCTTCCAATACCCTTTTGTACCTCAGGAAATTCATGGTTTACTCAGACAAGGTGTTGCTGTTGACAATATATCATCTCAGCTTTCACCATGGGCATCTGCTCTATTTGAATTTCTGCCACCATTTATTAGGAGACAGGTAAACTCATTTATCATGTTGAACACTGGCTGGCCTTGTGTCAATTTAGTGTGTCAAAGAAAATCTGACCATGATCATGATCTTTAATGCTTCAGCTTCTCCTTTACCCTGAATCAGATGACTCAGCACAGCTATCACAGGTAATAATCATGATATACTTTGCTGTCATATGAATTGCCAGAGAATTTCAGTTCCTTTATTCATGTCTTTGTTCTTCCCTCTTTATAATGACTTGCAGATTGAAACTGAGAAACTACTAGCTTACCTTGTTGAAGTAGAGATAAACAAGCGTCTGGTATATATACTGGATCTCTATTCTCCTGTCTCCTATTATCTTTCTGCTTCTACTGATTATTATCATGAGTTTATTTGTTTCCCTTTGCACCTTAGTATGATTTAGATAGGTAATGCTTGTTATTTGTGTGTTCCTCCGCAAGCTACCACTGATTTTTTTATTTTTTTATTTTAATTCTTTTTCTGTTCCTTGTGATTTGTGAAAACAAAATATTTTCTACGTCAATGAGCCCTTTTTGCAATATATTAATTTTGTTTTGAAATCATCATGATGGGCCAAGGATATGTCAGTTATGAATGATAACCTTGAATCCCCCTTTATAATCAGAATAAAGATTGATTTCTTTTTGGTGTTGATATGAAAAGCATAGTTGAGCTGGCTTTAATTGCTTTTGGTGACTTGAAAGTACATTATCCACTGATGCCTGATGTTCAATGCCATTTGCCATTTGACAGAAAGAAGGAACATACAAGGGGAAGAAGTTCAATGCCATTTGCCACTTCTTTGGTTATCAAGCTCGTGGTTCTCTGCCATCAAAATTTGACTGTGATTATGCATATGTAAGTTGATTCAGTTGCCTTTGATTATTAGCTCTTCTGGTCAGTATCAGCTGTAAGTGTTTATGTCTTCTGTTAATAACCCTTTAATATTATTGCAGGTCCTTGGACACATCTGCTACCATATACTAGCTGCTGGTCTAAATGGATATATGGCAACTGTAACTAACCTTAAGAATCCTGTTAATAAGTGGAAATGTGGGGCTGCTCCAATCTCAGTATGTCTTTGTTCTTTTCATTATTTTTATTGTATTACCTACTTAATTAATGGCTATTCATGGTGGTTTTGTATCATATGCCAATGCTTTGCATGGTACAGACTGTCTCATGTATTTTTCATGTCTGTGATGAACATTAGAGTATGATGACTGTGAAGCGCTGGTCACCAAATCCAGGAGCCACATCAATTGGAAAACCTGCTATTCATCCTGCTACCGTGGACTTGAGAGGCAAAGCATATGAGTAAGATTTTGTCATGTGTACTGCATGATGCATGTGTGCATATGCCTGTATATGGAAAAAAGAAAATTTAACCGGAGAATTTTATTTACTAATTACAACTCATCTTGTTCAGTTATGTTACATGCTTGATTTTATTATTCTCTATGCTTGCTTGGTTTCATTTCTTGGGAGCGAGTCTATTAAGGGCATTCTCTGATGCATGATGTTGGTTGCAGGCTGTTGAGACAAAATGCAGCAAGTTTTCTTATGGATGATATCTACAGAAATCCAGGTCCACTTCAGTTTGATGGTCCTGGTGCAGATGCCAAGGTTATTACTCTTTCTGTTGAAGATCAGGACTACATGGGCCGTATTAAGAAACTTCAGGAGTACCTTGAACAGGTCTTGGCAATTACTTTAACAGCACTAGATTTTAAGACAATTTTCTCATTCATTGTTGAGTTGAAAAAAATCAAGTTTAATTGAATGTGTATTGTGCTTGACCACTAATCTAATGACTGCTCATCCTCATTGTGTGCTAAATGAGTTGTTATTTACATTTTCTTATTGATCATTTCTTCCTTTTTCGGCTTGATGGTGTTGAGGCCTAGTTCTTGAGAACTAAGTTAGCTCTTGATCCACATGTTTTGTTGCATCTAAAGTTGGAAGGAGGCATAACATTGTTTAGTGTGTATTTGAGTGAATATTTGCAAAAGGACAAAACTTATGTACAGTATTGGTGGTGTTGGTCTTTAATTAGAGTTAGAGTTTCTCTTCGGTAACATGTGTAATAAACAATTCCATTTCAATTCTGATTGGTAAATAACACTAGCAGGATATAGGGTACTGTACATGTTTTGTCCTTTGCATAATTGATTCTGAACTGATATGATTTATGTTTCTATCCAATGCATAAGCTATCTACAATTGCTTCAACCCAATCAATTCTGGACCTAGAATTGATTCTTCAACGTGACCAAATATATGAACATTTATCTAAAATCACGTTCAATGTGATTTTGGATTATCCAACTTGAATCCGAACATACACTTAATCTGTTTCATATCTTCAATCAATATTTGGCTTATCATGGAATTTCTCCTTATTGTTTCAGGTTCGAACCATTGTAAAGCCAGGATGCCCTCAGGAAGTTTTGAAAGCTGCACTAAGCGTCATGGCATCAGTTACCGAAGTTCTAGCTGCAATGTCATCATCTTCTACCCATTCCCTCTCAGCCCTTTGAAGGGTAACGGTTGGAAGTTGTATTCTTTTCAAAATTTTCTGGCATAAGGTTTTAGTTTCTACATTTTATAGCCATGGAAGTAGTTGTTGATTGGAAATAAGAGTTAGATTTGACATGGTGCATGTCAACGTGAGATTACTGCAATCAAAGTTTTGGTTCTGTGTTCCCAACTGGGTACTTTTTTGTTTATTGTCCCTTTATTATTATTTTTTTTCAGACATGTTCCATGTGGCATTGTTTGATATTTTAGCTTGGTGCTTGAGATTATTATTTTTTTTCTTAGGACAACTCCTTTTATATTCCAAACTTGTGTTAGAATTTTTTTATAGCTATACCGAGGGTTACTTTATTTGGTATTCTAGAATGAAATTCCAACCCTTAAAAAATTCAGTAGCACGTGATATAACCTATATTTGCATGTGCATTCAAACATCATGGAAAATGGTTTGTACTATTCAATCACGTGATATACTTCTCAATCACAATAATAAAATTTGAATGGATATAAAATGTTGTTACAAAAAAGAAATTGGACTTTTGACAATTCTAATAAAGCAACCTTTATGACTTGTCCCATCATTTTTATTACTTGAAAGTATGGTTAATTTTATATTCCAATTCAATAACTGAAAGAATTCTTTTATGAGCTTTATAGTATATCCTACACGTTTAAATAATAGTGGTGACCTCTTTTTCACTGTTTGACAGCTTTTATCAGGTGGTGGTGAATGTAAAATGATTTCAATACTTTTTTTTTATAGAAAAAAATAGGCTTATTTGGTCCTTTATGATTTTTTTTTAAATTTAGTTTCATTTTATAGCCATGGAAGTAGTTGTTGATTGGAAATAAGAGTTAGATTTGACATGGTGCATGTCAACGTGAGATTACTGCAATCAAAGTTTTGGTTCTGTGTTCCCAACTGGGTACTTTTTTGTTTATTGTCCCTTTATTATTATTTTTTTTCAGACATGTTCCATGTGGCATTGTTTGATATTTTAGCTTGGTGCTTGAGATTATTATTTTTTTTCTTAGGACAACTCCTTTTATATTCCAAACTTGTGTTAGAATTTTTTTATAGCTATACCGAGGGTTACTTTATTTGGTATTCTAGAATGAAATTCCAACCCTTAAAAAATTCAGTAGCACGTGATATAACCTATATTTGCATGTGCATTCAAACATCATGGAAAATGGTTTGTACTATTCAATCACGTGATATACTTCTCAATCACAATAATAAAATTTGAATGGATATAAAATGTTGTTACAAAAAAGAAATTGGACTTTTGACAATTCTAATAAAGCAACCTTTATGACTTGTCCCATCATTTTTATTACTTGAAAGTATGGTTAATTTTATATTCCAATTCAATAACTGAAAGAATTCTTTTATGAGCTTTATAGTATATCCTACACGTTTAAATAATAGTGGTGACCTCTTTTTCACTGTTTGACAGCTTTTATCAGGTGGTGGTGAATGTAAAATGATTTCAATACTTTTTTTTTATAGAAAAAAATAGGCTTATTTGGTCCTTTATGATTTTTTTTTAAATTTAGTTTCACTTTAATTTTTGGTTTCAATTTGGTCCTTAATAATTTAAATTATTACAATTTGGGACTTCTGTTCAAATGATTTAAACGGAGTTAACTGTTGGTTACGTGAATGTCAGGTGGATGTCATGTAGATGCGTAGGTGGATGTCAAATTTCTGATTGCACTCTAGGTGTGTTAATTTTGTACCTGGAACGACCCGTTCTGGTTTTAGAATGGCTCGTTCTGCTGCACTCATTGTGTGTTAAATTTGCATTTGGAACGGTTTGTTCCAGTTGCAAAATTAATACATAACATGTGCAAGCAGAATGGACCGTTCTGGTTCCAGGTATATTCATGAAATTTGGCATCCATCTATGTATCTACGTGGCATCCACCTGGCCAATAGTTAACTTCGTTTAAATTATTTGGACGGAAGTCTCAACTTACAATAATTTAAATTATTAGGGACCAAATTGAAACAAAAAATTAAAGTGGGACTAAATTAAAATAAAAAATATGATAAGGGACTAAATAAGGATTTTAACCAAAAAAATAATTAATGATAGTTGTATTTGAAGATATTATGAATTAGATTAAGCATATAAAGTTATATACAATTTTAAAAAATTTGGCACATCATATTATTTTATTTTAATGTATAAAATAATATTCAAAATATACGTATATATCTTAACATTTAGAAAAATCTAGATTATTTAAAATTTGATATGTATAATCATGAATGTAATATTATTAAGTGTAGTTAAATTTATATTTAATAAAAGATTTTTAAAAGTGGTATTTGACTATTTGAAACTAAATAAATCTTGCTCTTTGTATGGAAATAACAATTGTCACTCTCACGTGACTGACTTGAGTCGCTCTCGAAGATGCTCTTGCAGTTTTTTTTTGGCGAAATTGTTCCATCACTAAAGTTTTCTATTGTTTGCTTTTGGTAGGGGTCATACTGAGCCACATGACTATCACAGGCAATGAAGTGAATGTCATTTCGCTAACTTATTTCATATTTATTATTTAATTAAATATCTAGATGTTACGTATTAAATTATTATATTTGATTGATTGTATATAAAAAAAAAGGATCAGATTGTATTCAAAATTCATCCAATACTATTTTGAAAACTAGCATGAATCAACTGGTCGGACTAAAAAAGGGAAACCAATCAAATATTGGTATGTTTATGAACTAATTTGATTCTAAACTCAATTTTGATTGATTTGATTTGAATTGATTTATCAAAAAATATTTTATGATCTGAATCAAACCAAGTCAATAAATAATAAATTGGTTTGATTTAGATAAATCGATTTCTTTTAGAAAGAAAAAAAAAAGATATTTTTTTTAAACATGAAAAATATTTTATTTTAAAATTTAAATAAAAATTTATTATTAAAATAGTATAAATAATATTTAAGCATAAATAAAAAATTAATGCAAGAAACATGAAATTAAAGTATTTAAACATTTAAAGGTAAGGTAGTCCCACAAATATAACTAAATTATCTAAGTTACAAATATAACTAAAGTATTCACTCTTAATGCTTTATTTGGGGAGGGGGGAAATATGTGAGAATGAGAGAGAATATGTGAAAATTGATTTGATAGGAAGTAAGTAGAAAATAAAGTGGAATAGAGTGAAATTTGTAATTATTTTATAGAGTAAAATTAGGTGAGAAATAAAGTGAAATTGATATTTATAATTATTATTTTACCTTCTCTTTATAATATAGTTTGATTTTTTTTTTTTTTTTTTACATGTTGTGACTTTATATATCTTCTAAATTTCATAAAAATCCCTTCAATAAAGAGAGTATAAAAAATAATATGAGATTCACTTCTAATTCCTTACATATCTCTTTAAATATCCTCCCAAACACAAATATTTTTTTAAAATCTATTCTACATCATTTCCTTGCTCTTAAGTCATCCCACCAAACAAAGAATAAGAAATTGAGAAACTAATCTAAAATATTTTTCATTTTGACTTTATTCAATACAAGAGATGCATGATAAAGTTTGATACCCAAAACTTTTCCTTTACTTTAACATTAGATTCAATGTATTGATTTAAAATCATTTACCGAAACATATCATTCCACAAAAGTTTCTATATGTCGGTTACTGTCATCATAATATTTGGTTAAAGAATCAACACGTAGTTTGATTGAAAACGACAATTAAATCATACAGAAAAATATATAAATGTAATTTTTAATAATTAAGAGGGATAACCCTCTTTTATCGAATTTTCTTATATTAAAAGTAAAAAGATATATTTTTTTAAAATAAAATAATATTTTTAATTACGACTCAATATTTAAAATAGAGATTGAATTTCTATAATTAGATAAACAACACAAATGTTAAAAAAAAACTATTTTTTTTTACATAAATGCCAAAATCACACATGTCAAACAATGTGTCATTTTAATTCTTTAACTAGTTAGCTTTTTTCTTAAATTAATTAAAATGAAAAATACTATTTTATCCAACTTGACAATCACAGTCTTAATTTATTTTCCGTACCCATTCATCTTTACAAATTAAATTAAAACATTAACTTGCAATTCCAAATGAAACCTTGGACCCAACCCAAATGAACAAACTGTGGCCTCTTGTACATGGCAATTTTGCAATGTGAACTGTACCTCCAATGGTATCAATGTGATAGGAAATTGAAATAAGTATATATCTGGAGGAAGATCTCCTGAATGATATTTGTAGCAAAGTAGTCACTACAACATCTTTCACATTTAACAACATTTAAAAAATATTATCAAATTAAGAAAAATGTTACCAATCATAATTAGCAACACTTTTACAAATGTAGTATAAAATCCATATTGCTAAAAGGTTTTAGCAACATTTTAACGTACCAATTGTAATATTTTATAAATGTTACAAATTGACATCGTTTGTAACATTTTAGCATATCACTTGTAACATTTTATAAATGTTATCAATTGACAACTTTTGCCACATTTATCAAATGTTACAAAATTTTTTTAAACATCTAAATCATAATAACTTTGGATCTATTGCTTCCTTATTAACTTCAAACAGTAAATTGAAAACTTACTATATTGTAACACTTGCAAGCATGAAATTATGCATTTAATGAATTAAAATAAAGATAAATTTATTATTTAAATCCTTTTTGTCCATCATGGTATCATTCAAAAGGCAACACTAATTTGTCAAGTTTGCAATAACATATAATTTCTTCTTTGTCAAAGATAAAACCAAAATCATTTAAGTGTCACTATTGCATTTTTCTATGAATTCTCATTTTGAGTTGTGTAACTTGCATATCAAATAGTAAGATGTCTTCAATATACACACAATCTGAATTGCCACAACCATCACCAGATTCACTCTAAAACCTGCAAACATAAACAAAATAAAGGTATAAAAAATTAAAAACAAAATTATAGATACTTTAAATATGGCGATATAGCTAAACATATTCCCCCACACCTTAAACTAATCTCATATCTCATTTCTTTCCTCACCAGATCCTAGGACATTCCATTCCAAAACAGGAAATAAAATTAGTACAAGATACTAACCTGAATGGTTTTAGCAAGATTTTTCTTATTCTGAATGTTTAAAGAAAAAGACAAGAATGAAATAAAAGAGAATAAGTTTCTTCATAAGTCAAAATAATATAACAAATTGAAACTACCAAGATGAAACTCTTTCAACGTATTCTTCTTGTGTTTTTTCTTGTGAGTTTTTCCCTTTTTCGACTTGTTTATAAAAAAAATAATAAAAAGTCATAAAATATGTCCAGTTATATTAGTTATTAGTTTTCTTTATTTTTAACAGTTGTAATTGTGTCTATATAAGACACTTTATTCATCTCCTGTAATATGTTTTATTTTTTTTTTGCTTATATATCAATCCAGGGGGAGTAATATACATGCACATGCATTCAAACATAGCATAACACCCGTTCCCCTACAAATTCAGTATTGCAAGCATTACTAGTGGCACTGAGTAGGTAACTAGGGTTAGAAGGTTAGTTATAGTTAGTTGAGATTAGATGATAGTTGATTCCTCACTAATATACACGGCACACCGCACACCTATGGCCTAATTGTATCACCTCTCTCATTTGTATCAATAATACACTCCTAAGTCTTCCAAGTATTCTCAAATTCTTTCCTCTCTCGGGCTCAACTATGTTTCTCAACATTCAAAAAACTATGGACATTGTACCAAAATTCTTGAGTTCTCAAGATCAATTAAAACTTTGTTTAAGCTTCTTATTTTACTCTATATAAGACGTATAAAATTTTCACTTCCTTCAAAAGCCAACATCCACAACTGCTTCACTTTATCAACATTGACCCAGTCCTATATTTTATGTTGACAACTTCAGTCATTGCATCTTAGTCAAGCCTATAAGTAACCCTTTTCTAATCATCTCCCAATGAAAATATCAGTTGTTATAACTTATAACTTAAGCATAAGTGAAGAGTTCACTCCAAAAGACTAGTCCATTTGATAGAAGAACCTCAAGGATTAAGTATCTTAAGCT